TTACTCATCAACCCGCGGAATGCCCGTGGATACCGAGTAACTCGATATCTCAACGTTATGCCCCATTTACCGGGGTCCATCCTTTATTAAAAATTTGGGCAGAGTCTCCCTTGTAAGGAGAACTCTACTCAAAACACAACCTGTGCATTATATAATAACAAGACCCATCTGAGGTCCTATATTCAACAATAACCACACCGGGTCCAATTATCCATATTCATACAAACATGCAAGATTATATTAAAACAGTCGATATAGATTCTATCACAATTCCTTTACACATTACATGCCAAAATTTAATTACAAGTCTAATTTTACAAACGAAATGAATTGAAAGCCACAAGTCGACTTTTCTTCCTCCTTAAGTGCCCGAGTAAGTGCCGTCCCTCGGCGTATGACCCGTACCTGAAATGTTTCCCGTATAGGGTGAGCCAACGCCCAGTAGAGAAAAACTCCTACTAGGGCTACTCCCCACCTTAAATGCATATGCAATGTGTATAAGCAACATTTAACATTTAACAACCATTCATACAAGAATATGTATTCAATATTGAAATGCAACCATGTCATGCCATAAAATAAGATGATACTCACTCATGCACTTAAACCCAAGTCCTCACTGACTTCCACAACACAATGCAATGCCAATGTGTAATGACCCGTCTTCGACGGAAATACATCCAATGATCACTTTGAATAAAAAATCATGCGTTTTATAAATCAAATCATTATTGGATGGTACTCATTAAATGAGTGTTTTCTTATAAATCAAAATCTTGTGTCCTGTTGGGCAACGGATTTTGGATTTTATATCGCTGGTTCCGTATACCATACTACACTTTTCCAGAATTTTACCACAGGGGAGTGTATAATCAAGTCACCGGGTCTTGCACCCGAGGGAGAGTCTAGCCCTACTTGCTATACCCGACACAATTTTTTTTCCATGCAACCATGCGACTCAAAGGGATCTCGATCCACTTTTTCCCGAACCCACATACCAACCACCAAACAAGGTGTTTGATCAACCATGCATCTCACACACCCACACTCATGACTTATGCCCATGAATGTAATGCCTCTATGCACAATGATACAATGTTCAATATGCTATGAATGACATATGAACAATCTCAACATATCATGATAAGTTATGTTCTAAGCATATAGATACCATATTTGTCACAAATTCAACATATCATAACATGCATATACCAACAATTGTATTTCCAATCATAAATCATGTCATAAGTCCATAATTTCACTTTCATAATCATAGGCAAGTGATATCACAACTTTTAGGCTAATAACACACCTAATCATTAAGGCATAATATAACACATAACGGCCAATGTAATAGCCCACGTAACGGCTCTTATCTAAACCACAAAATAGCTCATACAAACCACCATATAACAGCCCAAAAAATAGCCTAAAAATATCTACAAAAATAGTCCAAAAATAGTCACAATTTTAGTCCTTAATTCAGCCCTTTAACAGCCCCTTAAACAGCCCAAATTCAGCCCCTTAACAGTCCCTAGTTACTGCACAAAATAGCCCCTAATTAGTGCACAAAATCGCCCTTAATTAGTGCACAAAACAGCCCCAATTTCAGCACCAAACAGTCCATTTGGACAGCCCACATATAAACCAATTTCAGCCACTAAAAGCCCACTTAAGGTAAGAATAAAACCAAGGTAGGAGGGAACCCTACCTCAATAGAAGTGTAAGAACTTCTATAACACCAAATCAACCTCAAAGCTTTGATTTTACCCTTTTTTCAGAAAAAATTCAAATTTTTCCTGGGTTTCACATACCTTGTTATCAAATTCAGGATGCGGTATTTGTCAGTCAGGTCCTCTAGCTTTATATACTTGTTTGGTCTACCCCAAGCAAAATTTGGGTAACCCGTTACTTCTCTTCCTATAACATTTAAATCAGGTAATCGGGTATATGGATACTAGGGGTATTCTGGTCTTGGTATAGGTTGAAAGAATGCGGCTATAGTAGCAGGTGTAACTTGGAAATTAATACCTTGTATAAATATACATAATTGCCTTTTTTCAATTATTTCAATATTACTATAAAATTCACGAACTAAGCTGTCATAAGCAGAAATAGATAATTTAACATATTGTAACCATCCTCTTGTATTAAGAATTTGTTTGATTCCTATGTTCTCAAAATCCTCAAATATTACTGGTCTTTCAGAAATAATAGGTTTAGTAAAAAAATTAGCATCGTACCAGTCCTGTTGTTCAAAATTCTCTAACATCTCCTCATTGAAGATATTTTCCAAGTAAGGTTGTTGTGGAGGTTGATCAGGTGGTGGAGATTGATCCCTTCGCGCTTGGTTTGAAGACCGCTATGCTCATTGTCTTAAATCTATCTTTTTGTTGATTTTTCTTCGGAAGATATATATAATGTCGTGCCGAACGTTAGCTCTACTGTATGGATGGTGCTATTTGATTGGTTTTCGGTTTGCAACTGCAGACTATTTTTCTGATTTTCTATAATTATGTTTTTTTTCTTGTATATCTTGCAGTTCACAAAATTAGACATAATTTTATATATTCTACAAAACTTTGCTAACCACTCTTTTTCTTTCAAAAAAATTGGGTTTATTAATTTTTTATTTGTTATTTCTTATATACCGATTTTTCTATTTATTCTATAGTTATTTACATTTATTTACAACTATGTGCATATATTCCCAAAACTATACATCTTGTTGATTATATTTAGTCAGCATCAAAACTATCTGGATCAATAACACCAGTGACATGGTTAACTTCATTTCTCACGTATCTTGTTAACATTGGGGTAGAATAGGTTGGCGCCTCAGGATAATCCTTACTCTGCCCATACCAAATCCATCGTAAACGATCTGACGCTCGACCTAAAATTGGTTCCGCACACTGATTATATTATCTCAAATATTTTGTACGACTATACTTTGCACAAGCAGAAAGACGATTTGCTCATCGGTGTTTAGCATATGTATTTTTCCACACAGGGGTCTTGCTTGACTTTCAAAAATTTTTAAATTTCTAATATACCTAGCTCTTTGTATGATCAATGCATGGATATCTTTTGGAAGATGACGCAATATAATTAAACTTAACTAGAATATTTTTTTGTCTATTTTTCAACTTTTTAAGAAAATAAAATGACTCAAAAAATTATTGAAAATTGACTCACTATCTGGTTCTTTAACGTCTGTCAGTTACAAATTTTTTTTTTTAAAAGAATATAAAAACACTAAACACAAATATAAGTAAATTCACATATAAGTAAATTAACACTCACACCGCCCAACTTAAATTATATATTGTCCATAATGTATGGAATAAATGAAATAGAATATTAGATAATTGCTTATTAGATATGGAAGCGAGATACATCCATAGTACAAAACCTAATTTGCAAAACAAATAAAGAAACGATACAAAAGAAATGAAAACACAAAAGATAAATTTTAACTATTATATACAAGAGATCCATAAAGGATAGATCAATCAGGCTTAAGTTCCCAATTAAAGTTTCTTACATTCCGTGTTATTTCCTGTGAAGAATTTAACAAATCAGCATAAAATTGCACATCAGGATTTCCACTATCAATAACAAAATTAATCAAATGGACTTGTAGAGGGTCAGAATAAGAAAATGTGTTAACTTTCTCCTCTACAATCTCATCAATTTCATCTACCTCACAAATTTCTTTCTCCTCACCCGGTGCTTTATCACATTAAAGATGTTCAATTCACTAGTCATATTTCCAAGAAGGGTCAATTATTGGGAATGTGGATAAAATTTTTCCTAAAATCTAGAGAGAAACTTGGATGAGTATTCCTCTCATGAGTTCTTCACCAAGTTCTTCCTTAATACCTCCAAAGCCTCCAGATTTACAGTCAGCAAATCAATCACAGCCTCAACAAACCTTTGCATCACTCTTTAAATAGCCTGTTAATCCTTTTCCTATGCAAGAATCTATCCCCAAGATGGAAAAACCAGTTGTATTTTATGAGGGAGAACCGGCCTTCTACTTCACCAATGAAGAAGTCAAGCAGTCTTGGCCAACATTGCAGTATGCATTAATAGGTAAATGTGCCTATGGACGTCCAAGTCTGGGAGTGATAAGAGAAGTTATTCGTTCAAAATGGGATTTGAAAGGAGAGTTTGAGATACAGTCAGTGGATCCTAGACATATTTTGATAAGGTTCGAAAAACATGAAGACTATGTAAAAATTTGGTTGAAAGATGCTACCATGATTGAAGACTACCTGTTTAGATTTTTCAAATGGTTCCCTACATTTGTTCCTGGCATAGAGCCTTCCATTGTGCCCATGTGGATATCTTTACCAAGGTTACCATTGAATTTTTTCAAAAAGCAGTATTTGGAGTTGCTGGTAAAGTTTTAGCCTATGATCAATCCACATTATCTTTGGCTAGACCAAGAGTAGCTAGAGTCTGCGTTGAAGTAAATCTCTTAGGAAAAAATCCATCCATAATTTGGCTGGATATGGGAGACAAAGGTGCAAGATGGCAACAGATTGTATATGAAAAAGCTAAGAAATATTGCAGGTCCTGTAGAAAGCAAGGGCATGTAGAAGACAATTGCAGGGAAAGGAAATGTTTAAGCCAGAAAACTTGCAAGGAAAGGATCCAGTTAATACTAAAGATTTGCAAGGAAAAGATCCAGCAGAATCCGCAAACTTACAAGATAATAACCAATCAAATAGCATAAATTTAGGAACAATAAAAGGAAAGAATATTCAGCAAATGGATAACTCCAAGGAGCAAAACAAATAAAGACTAACTCACAAGCAATCAAGACTGGCATTCAAGGCTTAGAAGCATAAGGCAGTTTGGAAACAGAATAATAATGGGTATACTATAGTTGGTAACCCCGATTCCAAAAAGCAACCCCGGATGTGCAAAATCAAGAAGAACAGGCCATCCAAATTCTCAACATGGAAAATTCAGTAAAGGATTTACGATCCATGGAAAAGGGTGATCACTCAGGCAAAGACTATGTGCAGGTTTTGGAGACTTTGGGTGAGGGTATAGCCCAAGGAGAACTGGCCCCTTCTCTTGTTGTTGATTGTAGCATTCAGAATTTGGTAAATGATACAGAGGCAGTAAATGCAAATGAAGATCTTGCTGCTCCAAAAACCATGGTTCCAACAGATGCAGAGAATGTAAATGAAAATGAGTATGAAGGCATAATAAATGATGCAGCTGCTCAAGCTACTATTCATGTAGTAGAACAAGAGGCGGCAATTTTAGAAACAATGTTGCAGGAGTCTTACAAGGATCCTATTCCTTCTTCTCCAAACAACATGGGTTCTTTAATTCTTGATGTTAGAAAGGTGCCGCCTAACACAACTACAAGAACAGTCTCTTTCAATTTGATTAATTTGAATCATGAGGATGGTGAGATTTCTAGTTCAAATGATGATCCTGAGTATGGTATTGAAGATTCTTTAGAAGAGGTTCCCATTGTTTATGGTCCATGTGTTCTAAATAAGCATGATTATGATTCTTTGTACGAGCCAATGTTTGTTACCAAGCAGATGGTGGAGGCATCTCACCAGCATGTCCACAGTCAAGAGGAGTTCATCCCAACAATGTCTAGGGAAGAGATTCATCAAGCATTGAAATTAAATGGCACTTTCTCTAAGGATGACTGCTTGACAAAATTCCTTGTTGTTTTCTAACCTCTAAACATCACCTTTAGCATGTATAGTATATGAATGAAAGGGAGTGTCACTCTCTTAGGGATGATGTCAAAAGAAAGGTCAACGGAATGGTGGATGAATGAGATGTCAAATGTGAGTATGAGTGAACAAAAGTGCTCCCCAAGCGCAAGGAGACTTTTGCGGATCGTGTTTTACTTGGTGGTATTCCAAGGTCGTTTCTACGGGTAAGAAAGTAAACCAAGGGGAAGGTGATTTTGGGAGAAAGAAAGTGTAAAATCTTTGATTGTTGGAAGTTGTTTGGTGAAGTTGTTTTGATGCTAGTAAAATGAGAAACAAATGTTGGTAAATCCAAGAGGTCACTTCAATAGGAATATCGTCTCAACTCGAAACCCTCCTCCAATAGAGCATGAATGAACGATTGATTCGTAAGAAGCTAGGGATAAGATTGGTGAGTATCTAAGCATAAACCATGACTACGCCTACAAAATATCAAAGACTCACCAAGTTATCCACCCTCAACCCAGTCAAACTGAACCATTGAACTCTAAAAGAAAGGAGGAGAATGAGTTGAAATGGTATACCCAAGTGGAGGTTCCTCTTGGTTTTGCCAACTAAGAGATTTAGTTATTCATGCTTAAAATAAAGACAACAATATGATGAGAAGACATTATGAAGAAATAAAGACTAGAGCCAAGCATAAACGAAATGCATAAATATAATTTTCGGATATTCACATCTTACTAAAGATTGGATGAGAAACTACTCACTCTTCATGGCTTTGTTAAAGCTAAAAAAGTGAGTGATGATCATCCCTCCAAGTAGAGGAGTTACATGGTAAAACACTTTACACAATGAGCCGATCTTTGACAAAGAATGAGTGAATCACGTTCCACCCTTCACGGCTTTGGTAAAGCTCTAGAAAAGTGGAAGAATTTCACTCCTCTAAGGGAAGAAGGAAGCTCAAGCAATGGAAATAAAAGAAAGCAATAACACAATAAAAGAAAGCAATACTTAAAGTAAAAGAAAGCAATAATACAATAAAAGAAAGTAATACTTAAAGAAAGCAATAAGCAATAAAGAAAGCAATAATACTTTTGGAGGGTTTTCCACTACCAAAAGATGAATGTTTTACAAGTCCTAAGGGGTGGTATTTATAGGCAACAAGGGAGGGTGAAAGTTTTCTTAGGTGGCTTTGAATCTTGTTAGGTGGCCTTGACATGTCTTGTTTGGTGGCATGAAAGTCTTGTTAGGTGGCCTTGAATTCTTTGATCCCCCTTTGTTTTGAGCTTTGATAATTTGCACCCCAGTAGTTTGTAGTTTTAATGCAATTGGCTCCCTAGTAGTTTGTAGTTTTGATGCATAAAATCCTGAAAAGAACAACAATTAATGCATTATCCTTTATTAACACACTAACTCTAATTTGATTTATTTTGACTAGTTTAACTTTATTCAACTAACACAATTTACCTATTAAATTATGTCTTAATTAGGGTTAATCAATGACTATGTCAAAAAACCTATTGTTCACAAAAACACAAGAGGCTTTTTCTCTGATGGAGAGGATGATGTTTTAGAGCCAATTATAGATTATGAATTTTTATGGCTACATCCAAGGAATTACTGAGAAAGCTCAATAATACTGAGAAGAAAAGGAAACAAAAAGATGACGAGTTGGCTGCATTGGCGATGGCTTTGAGCAACGTTTTATCTGTGACGCCCCTAAAATCGGGGTCCTTTTTCAACCATTGACCATCCGTCAATCCGCAGAAATACCCGTGGTTGTCGCACAACCCAACATCTTGTCAATTGTATCCCCTGAATCGGGATCATAACCCACACGTATAACCCGTGTTCCTTTAATCATTTAATTCAACGGAGCTTCAATGTGCCTCAATATACCTCATTTAATGTCCATTTGTATCGTTGGAACTAAATAAAACAAAGCTCAAAAGGTTAGCAAAACAATTTTTAAATTTTTAGATTTTTTGAAGAGCTACTAGTAGGTGTTTGTTAGACCTATCAGTAGAAGTTCTACCTGTAAGCTACCGTTAGCTTTTTTCTACTGGACAGGTACTACCTGTTAGCTACCAGTAGTTCTTTCCTATTGGACGGGGTACTACCTGTTAGCTACCAGTAGGTTTTGCCTGCTAAACAAGTACTACCTGTTAGCTACCGGTAGATTTTGCCTACTGAACAGGTACTACCTGTTAGCTACCGGTAGGTTTTGCCTACTGAACAGGTACTACCTGTTAGCTATCGGTAGGTTTTGCCCAGAATTTTATGTTTCATCAATTTTTTTTCATATCCAATTCATCTCAAACCTTCCCAAATTCATCCCAACATGTATAAAGATATTTTCTACATTATACATGATTCATACAAGTCT